GTAATATTTTAATGTAATCTTTAAATGGAAAACCCCCTAGTGTTCACTAATAAAATGATTTCATTTCACCAACATTTGTAAGCTGAATTTACAGTATCTACAACTCAAAGCACAAGACCAACTGTTTTTACCTTGTATCTGCATATTTGAGGAAATAATTTCTTAAAGTCAGTCTAATATTTTTTAGGTAGAATAGTTCAGCAGATGGTTTTCAAGTTAATACGTACTCTCTGTGCCAGTCATAAATCTGGTGAATGTTTCCAAATACAATCTTGTCTTTGCCTTTCATATCATCAGGTACGCCATCTTCCTTCATAAGTGCCATATAACCCTGCAATAGTCCAAGTAAATTCACTGCAAAAATTCTTACTTTTAAAAAAGTGAGCTTTCTTTTAATCTCTCTTTTCCCAGAAGTTGTCCAAATTGTCTACAGCAAAAGCTCGCTTGGGACACAAAACCAAAGCAAAAAGCTGCACTATAACAAAGAGCACAGACACAAAGTATCACAAATTGACTTGAGGCTGTCTACACAACACTGCCCAGTGCTAGAAAAATGAATTCACTCCAGCTAATTTAGCTTGTGTGAACAGAACCAAAGCATGAAGGAAATTTCCACAACCCTTCTCCTTATCAGCGGAAGCAACTGCAATGCTTTGCCAAGTAGGGCTGCTATTGAGTACGTCTGGTTTTGGTTTGCCAAGTTTATGTTTTGATGTCTAGCATTTTCACGAGGAATTTTTTTGTTAGTTACAAAAATACATCTATCAATAGCCTTCTAACACACCCTTTAAATACTTTAAAAACACTTATCACAATGCCAATCTTTCCTTCCTTCCCTCCTTCTAAAATAGAGTTTAGGAATTGAACATTCTTAGGTTGAATTTCACTGTCATGCTCATTCTACTCTTCCAAATGCACCTTGTTGGTAGCTGAAGACTGAAGAAAGATGTGTGATGTTACCTCATTTTATTGTAGGGGAAGATAGGAAGTCTAAGAGAAGTCTAGCAATAGGAGAGGAAGGTGGACTTCCAAATCCTGTATGCTGACCTAAAATTTTTTTTAAAATCTGGTTGTGCTAAATAAAACCATCTAGCCTAAGATAACATTAGGCCAGAAGTACTGATCTTAAAAAAAAAACAACAAAGAACGACACTCTTCAGAAGAACAAGGTAGATACAATAAGAGGAACCAAAAAGGGACTAAGATATGATGCATAATACATTAAAAGCCTGCAGGAGGAAAAACTCAGAATACAAACTCCAAAATTTTCAGTTTCTTCATGCGTTTTGTTTTGAAAAACATTGTGAGGTTCAAGTTGCACAGCTGCTTAGTACCACATTTTAAAAAAAGAAGAAATCGGGAGAAAGAAAAACATCATACCTCAACTACGTATCCCAGATCTCGCACATAATCTCGTTCTGTCTCCACTAATTCCTGTAAGACATAGCTACAGTGGAAGGAAAATGGTGAACACATATTAAAAAATGGAACACATTCTTCAAGAGGATTAACGGCATACAAGTTCTTAGACATTTGCAGTCACATATGCTTGACAGGTAGAACTGAAATGGAAGAATTATTGTACGTTGGTTCTAAGATACGGCTTTGACTTTGAAACTGGACAAGGCTTGCTTCTGTTTATCTAAAGTCAGATGTTTTCTTAAACATGACACTGAAATCAAACATTTAACTATTGTTTAAAATAAAATGCTATTATGTCTCTGGTCTGGAGACTCTTAACTATATGAACTGTTATTTCTACACACAGGTTTAAAAATTTTTGAAACTAGACATGTTTTTGTTCTACCATGGTAACAGTTTACTACTGCATAAAGTGTGAGGTGAAGCAGAACAAGAGGAATTACCATATTTTTCAAGTCTAATAGTCCTTTGGACATTTAAAGATCATCATCTTTTTGAATAAGTAAGAGTGACACATGACAGAAGTTAAACACAGGTATGACTAAGATTAAAAATCAAAGGAAATTGAATCTGCAACAAATGTCTGAGAAACATGACTACATGCTTGACACCTAATACAAGCCTCCTCCCTTTCAGACTAGCAGTTTCTGCTGCCAGTTCAAACCAGGCATTGTATAAAAAAAAAAATGTAAAAAACTGAGTTAAAATGTGGTCTTACTGTCGTCTTTTTAAGGAGCTGGATTTCCTCTCTTCCATCTCATCAATGGGTGACGAGGAGGATAGAAGGGAGTTATCTGAAGGGTTAAAGGATGGACTGCTGCTGTCACCTTGGTCTACCAACAAGGAACTTGGACGGTCCTCCAGAGCCTGAGAAGGTGTTCAAGACAGTCAGCAACAATGATTTATTTCTCCTTTATTCACAAGACACATTACATGCTGCTGTATAAAGCAATCTATGGGAGATCAATTTCTGTTATGTATCTTGGCAAAACAGATCTCAAGCCTCCAGGAAACCAGCCAACACTGTGGGTTTTCCAAGATAACAGCCTTATAGAAGCACATTTGGGATGTGACAGTCTTTCCTTCACAGGAAAGAAAGGAGTTGAGTTGGTTTAAGCAGCAATGGCTAAAAGTCCAACTATCCTGCTCAGGATGTAAGTGTTTTTATGGTGGAAGCTACACAGATGTGCGCTCATTGCCAAGGATTAAATTATGTTTGTCATATGTGAGTTCTGGCATATACAAGTTATTTCCAACAAAAAATAAAACATCTTCAAAGAAGATTATTTCGATGTTACATTTTTTAACACAACAAAGTAGAATTCTTTGTCAGATGTTTGTTTATCTTATTAATTAGCCAAAATAGTGATTCAGTAAAGAAAATAATGACTTCTACACCATCAATGTTGCTTTTGAGCTTCATGACAGTTCAGATCTTAGGAAAGAGTCCCTGTATCCCATGCCAGATATACCATCTCTTTTGCATGGACTGCACAGGCTTCTGTTTGTACAAAAGATAGAGAAGCAATGGGAGAAATAATACGAACATCTTCTACAAAGTATTTATTGGATTTTTTTAATTCAGGCCCATAATCTTGGATCAAGCTACAGTTAAATATCACATTTTCCTTGCATGTGATACAACCTTTAATGCAAGACACATTTACTTCACCAGGGTGGGGTTCAGCTGCAATTTTTTTTTCTTTTCCCACGAAAAGTAAAAAAAAAAAAAAAAAAACAAAAAAACACAATAATGATATGACCGGCCCAAAAACCAGGGGAAGTTGACCCTTGGCTAAAATTATGAAATGAGAACATCTCCATCAGGGACTATACGCATGTATCATTAGGTTAGATACACTGCTGGGCAGCCTGAAAGACACATGGACTACCAAACTTTCCATTTACAAAAGACTGTGTTGAATTTTCCCATAGATTACTTCTTATTCATCGCTCTGGTGCAAGAGAAGTGAAAAGCTCTACAGAGTGTGTACAAAATGACCTGTATATCACCTCAGAAAGTGATTTTTGAAACAGGCATCGAGTTTTAAAAGTCAGTGGAAAGAATGTAGCTTTTCTTTGAATAGCAAGTTGGGACTTGAAGACACAACTTCCTTAGACACATGCATCTGCCAGTCAGCCTCACCATTTTACTTTTGACGAGCTCCTCAATCGCACTGACTAGTTCTGCAGCACTGGGTGTCTCGGAGCTTGTTGGCCGCACCAATAATCGAGACGATGTCTGTGCAATGACACAAAGGAAGGAAAATCCCACAGTTAACCTGGTACTTGCTCAAGGATCAAGGGACTTCCTTCACTTCTCTGTCAGACAAAGGTACCTGACAGTAACTGCCAGTGTAATTTAACACTAAGAATCATCTCTTCCAACAAGTAAACCCCATACAAGTTAAATAAAAATTCCTGTTCCTACATGCAATAGAAGTCAAGGAAATATCTTTCATCTTGCTGATGATAATTCCTGACAAATAGCTATAAAATCTGCCTGAGCTGACCCAATGGAAAACCAACAGTTTGTTAACTTATTTTACTGCTGCTTCAACAAAGCAATAACTGTGGAACGGTAAGAGAAATCAAGACGACTTGAAGTAAATGAGGAAGTCTTACTACATTAGGAGAAAATACACCAGTAACTCAGGGGTATTTACTTTTTTCCTAAAGGAGCTGGGGTATATTGCCCAGATTCAGATGGGAAGTTGAGCTCACCATTCCTTGTGCCATCCATTTTCCCCAATGGTATGTGTAGAGCACAGAAGATCTCTGGCCTCATAAGCTATAAAATGCCAGTTTATAGATACAACTGAAGGTAAAAGGTGTTCACAGTAAAGGATTCTGGGAGAAGGCCATTAAATTCAGCCTCAGTAATCTGCAAACAGGAGTTGTTTGCATATTACATTTATCATTTAGTAACTGGAAAGTGGAAACAGGATGTAATATGAACCCTACTTCATATTACAAACAGCACAGTGAACATCATGTAGCACAGGGTAAGCTGTCCTGCAGACGTTTCCAACAAACCGGACAAAGAAATGGCACGCATAATGACTTCACACAAAAGGTTCTGTTCAAATCAAGCATGGGTGTAACAAGACTCCCCATAAGTAAATTAAAAAAAAAAAAAAAAAGGAAAGAAAAGAAAAAAAAATAGACAGATTTTTAGGTAGTTTGCCTTGTATTTGCCTTATTTGGAAAGGAAAGAGGGGTTGGGTAAGCAAAGGAAACACAGATAACTTTAAACGGAAAGATATGGGAACTGAGCCAAAGCAGAGACAGAACACAAGTCAACATAATGCTGCATCAGAGTTTACAAAAAGAGAAAACAAAAAGCAAAAATAATTAGTTTCATATTAACACAACTGATCTTGAAACTTTAATACTGCTTATCCAAAAATTAAATGCAAACAACTTGTAAACTGCCACCAAATGCAAATTCATGACGTGCGCAATGATTCCACTTAATGGAAGAATGTATGCTGTGCAGATGAGCTCTCAGGGGAGAAAATGGTTGTGTTATTTAGTGGTATTAGACAAATCAGCATGGCCTAGCACTTGACGTTTGCATGAACACCAAAAACTTTTCAATCCCACAGCTAGCCTGTCTTTTAGGCAATTACATGCCCCTGACATGTGAACATTGACCAGGTTTTCCAAAGCTGTACATGGGTTTTCACTTTGGATGTGGAGCTCAGCTTAGTCTTACAAAACACTGTCAGTACTGGACTCTAAATCTGGTCATGGTCCCTTCTCTCTTTTGGGGTATAAGAGGTGTGAGTGCTGGTAAAACTTCAGAACTGTTTAGTTTCCCGTTCATGTGGTTATAACACGTATTATTTTAAGAAGAAGGAGCTGCATACATGAAGTCTGCCTGCAGAGTGTCCTGATGATGAACTATAGGAGCAAAGTGCATCCCTTGCCCAGAAACCAAGGAAGGGTGGAGGAAGCAACTGAGCCCAAGCAGGCTAGGGTCCATAGCAGGCTGGGAAAGGAAGGAGAAACCCAGCGAGCAGGGATTTTCCAGCACTGAGTGTAGACAAGAAGCCCTGGAGAGGAAGAAATGCTTGCAGGGAGGCACAGACAAAAGCCAAGTTTCTGAGGTCAGTGAAAGGAGGAGACATTCCTTAGGATCCAGAGGAGATGAGCAACCCAAAAAACCACTCAGCATGGCAGGAATGTGAAGGAGGACTCCACCCAGAAGGCAGACAACTGGGAATTTGTTTGCAAACCTTTCACTGATCAGGAACTCTATCAATAGAGTCAACCATCTTCTAGTGGGTAAAATTTTGCTCTGCCTTCTCACTTCTGCATTCCAATAAAGCATTTGCTTTAGGTACTAGAAGTTCGTGGCATGTGGACTTTTGCGAGCCACACACAACCTCCCAGGCTGCCCCATGAGGGGACTTTTTTGCCTCCCATCACGCAGGATGGATATTGCATAACAACAGCAAATTGCAGAAGAATAACTATTTACATACTTTGAAAAACTATGGTATAATATTAACATTACCAAATTTTAACTTCACAGAAGTCTTCTCTAAAATGTTCAAGCTACTTTAAAAACCTTCCCAACATGTTTTTACTGCAGAGGGTGTATGTTAACTGCTTAAGAACTGGTGCTGGTTTTGTCTAGGGTAGAGTTAATTTTCGTCACAGTGGCTGGTATGCTCTGGATTTGTGCTAAAAAAAGTGTTGGTAATATAGAGATGTTTTTTTTATTGCTCAGCAGCGCTTACACAGAGCTGAGGCCTTTTCTGCTTTCTGTACTGCATTGCTGGTGAGGACACTTGGAAGTGCATGGGAAATTGGAAGGAGACACAGCTGGGAGGGGTGACCCAAACTGACCAGATGGATATTCCATACCATAGGACATCACTCTCAGGATATAAAGTGGGGGACAGAAGGAGGAAGTGGGGGGGATGTTTGGAGTGATGGTGTTTGTCTTCCCCAGTCATTGTTACACGTGATGGGGCTCTTCTCTCCTGGGGATGGCTGAACACCTGCCTGCCCATGGGAAGCAGTGAATTAATTCCTTGTTTTACTTTGCTTGTGTGCATGGTTTTTGCCTTATCTCAATCCACAAGTTTTCTCCCTTTTACACATCCCATTCTCCTCCTGATCCCATTGGTGGGAGAGTGAGCAAGCAGCTTGGTGGCTGGCTGGGGTTAAACCACAACAGAAGTGAAAGTAAAATTTACTGCAGATTGAAAGCTACTCAAAGCCTCTTACTCAACTGTGGAAAGGGTCTGACTTCACACCAGAAGTACACAAGTGAGCAGACAATAATTTACAAGCATATCCCCTCACATAACTGTTCTTGCTGTGTAGAGAACTATATAATCAAATTATTTTTCTCTGGAGAACTTTTTTAAATTCTTGTGTATAATTTTTTTTTTCTGTTACTGAAGGGACAGACAAATAAGGCAGCCCATCAACAGGAACTTAAACATATTTTCACCAACATTTTTTTCATCCTATTTCTAAATCTCAAACTGAGATTGTTATATTCTAGCAAGAAAACATTCTCTCAGGTCTAAAGGTAGGCCTATTTTTTACCTTGTTTTGTTTCAGGAATATTTCTCCGTATATTAACTCTCCAACTCATATGTTACACTTTTTCAATTCAGAAAACAAGTAGGAATTAAAAACACATAGAGCATAAGAACCAGTCATTTTGATCCTACAAATGATATTTTCAGGGATGAGAGATTCCCACTGAAAGGAAGTCTTTTTAAAGGAATTAAAACCCCAAAAATAAGTAAGATCAGCCAAAGTTATGAATAGCATCTGTACCACTGAGAACAGAGAGGAACCAGTCACAAAATTCATTAACAATATTCAGTGCTGTAGATTGCAAAGGTTAAAAATTTTAAGGAGCAAAATGGGAAGAAAACAGGAATGTGCATATTTGCTGCCCAAGTCCAGACTTTTTCCCCTATGAAACCCTCTATTTCCAGACTTGATACTTGCCCCCTAAAAGTCTGATCCACGTTGAAAATAGAAATAAACTCTCTCAGTGTATGAACATCATAACATCAAAGAAAAATAGATCACACGTAAGGATGATTTCCTTCATGCAGTTACTATCTACATGCAAAATCTCATTACTGGTGCCAAATTTTTACCCTCAATTTTAGTGTGCCTTTCTTTGTAAAAATCAGCTGGATTATGTGCTGGTTTTGGCTGGGGTAGAGTTAAATTTCTTCACTGTAGCTGGTGTGGAGTTGTGTTTTGGATTTGTGCTGGAAACGGCGCTCAGGGATGTTTTAGCTATTGCTGAGCAGAGCTCACACAGTGCCAAGGCCTTTTTTGCCTCTCACCCCACCCCATCTGCAAGGAGAATGGCAGGGCACAGGGAATTGGGAGGGGACATAGTCAGGACAGCTGACCCAAACTGATCCGAAGGATATTCCATACCATATGTCATCTTACTCAGCATATAAAACTGGTGGAAGAAAGAAGGGGGGGGACACATTTGGAGCGATGGTATTTATTTCTTCAAGTCACCATCACATGTGATGGAGCCCTGCTTTCCTGGGGATGGCTGAACACCTGCCTGCCCATGGAAAGGGGTGAACAAATTCCTTGTTTTGCCTTGTTTGTGCATGCAGTTTTTTGCCTTCCCTATTAAACTGTCTTTATTTTGACCCATGAGTTTTCTCACTCTTCTGATTCTCTTCCCCATCCCATGGAGGGAGTGAGCAGTGGCTGTGTGGGGCTTACTTGCTGGCTGGGGTTAAACCACGACAAGTAATACCCTTAGGTGGTAATTCCTTTCTCATAGGCATCCCCCTCCCCCCCAAAAAAAAAGGAATAAAAGTTAGGATTATAAACCAATTAGATTCTAATCATTAAATAAAGCATCAGTCAAACAGATATAAATTGGTCTGTGAGCACACAAAGTAGCCCATTTTGACATTTAAAGGAATAGTACAAAAATTGCTACACTTCTGCTTTTAAGACAGAGAAGCATTTAATTCACGCTCTTTTCACAGAACGCCCTTTTAATGTTGTCTAAAGTGGCACAGTGATTACTTCTGTCTTCCATAAATCTGTATCATGTACAATTTGGAGACCTTCAAAAACAGAAGAAAGATTTTTGCAAATAGAGGTTATCTCAACATGTAAAGCCTTCCCTCCTACCTTGTCATCCTGCGAGTCGGGCTGGAGAAGACTATGTTGCTGAATTGCCATTGGAGGAGGAAGTGGTACAGCATCTGCTCCCTCTTCACCTTCCTCCTCTCCGCAGCTCTGCATGCCTGAAGAGGATGACTTGGAGAGAGTCCCACTGCTCAGCCCCTCATTTCGACCTCTCTGTAAAAAAAACCATCAAGACATTCAAGCTCTGATATCTTCTCAACAGCATGAAGCTTGTCTCAAGTTTGTTCCGTAGTTTCAGCCCTCTCCCAAAAAGTCAAAATGATCCTATAAACACAGTAGGATCCTCCTTAACAGAGGGGGAAAATGCAAATGCCAAAACCAGTTTTTCAATCTTTGGTAAAAGCAGATGGATTGAGACACTAAGAACAAGACAGCCTGAAATTTACTACAGGAAAGTGTTATCAAAGCCACGCTTTCTTTCCAATTTCAGTTCTGTAATGAGAAATCCGCATTTCTGAAATATGTATCTTGCTATGTATCAGAGGACAAAAAACCTGCTATCACCACATGAGGTATTTTGTTAATTATCCTTCCTGTCCCCCACAAGGAACTATGATTTCAAGTACCCAAAGTTTAATGTAACTGATCTTGCAGGATAATTCATCTATCTTCACAGGAAGACAGCATAGATGGTTATTGTTTTTTTTCCTGACATTAAGGTTTTCTCCCACTCACAGAATTGCAGAGTAACAGATATTCCATAACAATGCTGCAAGTGCAGCACAGAGGGTCTCTTTCTACAGTCTGACAGCCAAGGACAGAGGCCAATATTCATTCCTAAACAACATCTCTTGACTCACCATGCTGCCAAGTCTCTAATCTCTTCTTTCCCTAGATTCACTGTATAATATCACTAATGTTCCAAGTTTGTTGCAAAATATGTTGTGAGGAAGAGAAAACAATGCAAAATTATTAAAAACTGGCATCTGCATGGGAAGTATCAAAACTGATAGTCAGAGTCAATCTTGGTAAAAGGGAATAAGTGCATAGCATGCATCTAGTTGTGCCCTTGGAAGCAGTAAGATGACATTTCATTTTAGCCTGAAATGTAGGTTGTGACAAAAAAGAGTCTGGCTCTTGCCTGCACCTAACTCATACAGAGTTCCAGGTTTAGAAGGAGGGGCACATTTTTGCGGGGCGAAGGGAATCCCTCAGTTGTTGGTGGCAAAATTTGGAACAGTTCACAGTTTCCCTCCCTCCAATGAAAACTGCCATGCATATTATTTGACTAATGGTAAACCTTTTTATTTGAAGGGCCAGTAATTTTTCTGTGCTCTGACCCTTACTCAAGGTAAGCAGTCAAGCAGCTCTCCCAGTATTTTCCCTGACCCATCAACAAGAAAAGGAAAGGAAGTATAAAATGACCCCATTACTCCCAGACCTTGAAACACCCTTACTCACAAAGCTGCTTTTCTAATTAGGGTAAGAGAGCAAAGCCAAATAACAACTTTTTACTCTCCCATATCTCTCTTTCTATTAGAGACCTTTCACAGAGCTTCACTAAGACTCTCAATGAAGAGGGCACAAACTGTCCCTTGCACAGTACTTATGCAGAGTACAGCAGTCAACAAGAATGAGTACGGGGCACATACCACTTTGTTCCACTGCTGGACAGTCAAATGAGGAAACAACCTTCACCTGACAACATCAGTTCTTTGAAAAATATAAAAACAAGTCTTGGGAAGCTGCCCTGAACACTTACCTCTTCAACAGTTTCATCTTGTGGGGTTGCTGCACTATCATCAGAGTCCTTCTGAGAGCCTGTATCGGCACTTTTACGAACCTCTCTACTCTTCTTATGCTTGTGGGCCAGTTTTTTGACATGCCCGTCTGCTTTTCCACTGCTAAGGCGCCTCACAGGACTGGTAAGCCATTTCCTCAAAGTGTTGCCGGGGCGCTTGGGACCTGGGGAGCTCTGAGCACCAATCATGTGGGCCTGAAGTGATGTTACTGAAGCAGGAGGACTGGCATCATTGCTGGAGACTGAAAGGGAGTCTGGAAGAAGAACAAGGAGAGCGTTTTAAAGTTGAAACACAGGCAAGTAAGAAACAAAGATAAATAGATGTATGTAATAACAGATATCAGATTGGATTTATGGACAAATCAATCAGATTATTTGAAGGTAATCTGTCCCTTTATGACTCTACAACTATCGGCGTACATGCTGCATGAGGTTGGCCATACACAAGCTTGTAACAGTCAAGCTTCATTAAGTTGCTTCTGCCTCAATTATAATTCATACTTCCCACTGATGATATTTATTTGATAGTGAATTATACTTTCCATATGTCATCTAACTTTATGGAAGGATATGCTCCTTTTATCTTTTAATGTTTACTGCTTTGAGCAAAGACTTGAAGGGTAACTATAATTGCCTAAGTAAATAATTTTTCAAAAACTAAATTCAATTACAAATGCTCCAGTTACTTCCATTATTTATTTATTTACCCTACCCTTGGGACAAATGGAAGAAGAAACCAGAACAGAGTTAAATGTCTGTCTTTTTTTTAAAATCTTGTTAGAGTTTTGGCTTTGTTTCATTTGCTTTCTAAAAAGGTGCAGAGCAATGTTTAAAAGCCCACTTGCTGAAATCTCGGGATCAGCAGTAGTTCTCAGCATGGTATGCTTGAAGTTCTGTAATGAAACAAAGGATACACTTTTCTCAAGCCCCAGTTAAATGTGCATGAGATCAAAAATACTTTCCCACCAAGGTTCCTGTCACTTGAACAGGACTGTATGCTTACAATGAACCTCCACTGGTTAGCTATTGTGAGACTAGATTTCTTTTCTCCCATGCAGCACAATGCTTTTTTCCCCAACGATTCTCTTTTCCTTAAAACATACTTTTTTGGTGGGGGCAGGGAGGGGAACATTCTTCTAACATCACTCCTATAAATATTATCTACCACAAGGGTATTAACAAGACTCTCCCAGGTTGTCAAATATGTTTTTTTTTTTTTTTCCCCTGTGCGTGCACTTTTGCAGACAGATAGTTTACAGAAGGATGACATAAATAATGTTTTGTTGAATGTTTCTACTGCTGGGAGTTAAATGCAGTGCTTGTATTCCTTCTGGAAGCTTGACACAGATGTTCAGGTCACCTCTTCTGGCAGCTTTTCCCTAAGAGGTGTACTGCCAGTCTGACCAGAGATACTTTTAATTTTGTAAAATAATATGGTCACACTGATGTACCAAAACACCCAAATACTTGGATCAATGCACAAGTATGTGAGTCTGTTTCGTTTCCCCAGAGCACTAAGCATAAATGATGGTTTTGAACAGAGATGGGGAAAGACATATAAAACATGAATATAAGAAGTTAAGACTTTTTATTTTTCCTGCACTATTCAAGCTATTTCAAAAAGGGCACCCTTTCCTTGGAATTCCAAATTGTGTTCTATCATGCTGTTTTTAAAAATTTTTCTCTATTCCAATAAAACCCATGGCATGTCACCATTAAGATACACCAGTTGTCATGCCAAGAACATCTGCAGCTTATAGTATTATGAACACATACATAATAATTGCTGTAACTCACCACTTTTCATTGTTTCCATAAAGCAGAAGATACACTTTAGAAAGCATACTTTCAGTCTAACAAGCTAGCTGCTAACACTTTAAAATCAGGATTCATCTACAGAAATATCTTCTAGCCACAGCCGCAGCTGTTGTGCACACAGGTAAGGAGAGTTCCTATGATGTCATTAACCTGGGATCAAGGCTTTAAGTAATGGGTACTACAAAGCTACACTAGTTGTCTTTGTCTCTAATCATGGATTAGCAGTGCTACAGAATTGCCACATTATTTTCTTGTTGAAGTGGAAAACATAAGGAAGAAATTAATTATCTATAACAGCGGTTTCCAACTTACAACCTGAATATCCCTCAAGGCCCCTGTATTACTGCTAAAGGGTTATCAGCACATATGCAAGAAAAGCAAGCCTACTAGCCATCAGCATCCACATCATGACAGATTTTTTACTTCATTAAAAAAGAAAGTGGTTTGCTTGTTAAAAAAAGTCCAAACAAAACTTGCAACCATCTGCAAGTTCTCCACAGGAATCCAAACAATCTCCTATTAAACCTCTGTAAGAAGTTAGATTGACTGCTCTTTCACCAAACTTAACTTTACCTTTACTGCATCAGCAGGCATTTTAGTTGTTATCAGATGCCTTGTTTCAGAAATCACAGCAAACATCAGCTGATGGGTATTTAAACAAATAGCCCTCTGCTAATCTGCTAGTGGAATACAGAAGATGAGAAAACAGTGCTGATGTTCTTGTAAATAGGTTTCTTAAAGCACAAACTAAATGACTTGTTTTCAAGATTCCCGAGCTTGAAGATGTTATAATCACTCAGCCAAGTTTGTCTTTCATTTGTATATATTTTTCTGCTCAATGACGGTTCATAAAGGTCCCTTCCATACAAATAAAATAAGAGAACATTCACTTGTCTATATAAGAAGAAAAAATTAAGCCTTTGCAGAAGTTCACCATATACTGTTTTGTATTCTTGTATCTGTTGCATTTCTTTCTGATTACTCCTTTCTAACAAAAAGGCAGCGTGGTAGTGCAGTAACTGATTGCCTAAGATTTACTTTTATATAAACATTCCTATCTCTAAGCGTGTAACATGCCTGCAGTTAATAAACCCATTTTTCTTTTTATAATTTGTGTGCTCCACATCCTCAAATTCTCACACATCCCTTTGACAATCTACACTTACCAACTACCAACTTTCTTGTAAAACCAAGCAATACAGGGCAGAGCCCCTGAAACTGTGGAAGACAAATATTTTAATCTGACTGTACTTTTGTGGTACCACTCCTACTCTTAACCCAAGTCAGCCAAGAGTTTGTGGGCAGGGGGAGGGAAGAGACCATGAAATACGTACACTCTGCTCAAGTGAAGAGGATCTAAGAGACAAAACAATGTTAGCTAGACATGTTCTGCAGCACATACTTTAGCCATATCCTCCCACACAACATTGGTTTTCATTTGGTGTGCAGCATGTAACTGCTTCTTATCTTCTCTTCTGCATGATTTAATATTAAATACTTACTGAAGTATTATTAGGGCTTCAGGGAATCATAAAAGCAGACACAGGGTAAGCAGTACACCAAAATGATAGCACTGTTCCACTTTGCTCTTTAAAGCATGAAAGCTCCAGAGGAGAGGGAAAATCACAGAGACTGGGGACCTCTGGAGATCACCTAGTCCATGCCCCCTGCTAAAGCAGGTTCACCCACATCAGAGTGTATGGGAGGTGCTCAAGTTCCTATATTTATGTACAGGCATTACCAGATTCAAGCATTAGGGCATATCAAATCCAATACAGGCATTTTCAAGAGCACTGAAAGACCTTTCACCCTCCCTATGAGAACAGCTGCATGGGTGTGTCTTATTTCTCCCTGTCCCATTACTATATTCTACTGCTATCTATATAGGGATACAGACTTGGTTTGATTGATTACCATGCTTGGGATTGTTTACACTAAATTGGCTTTGTTTTCTTTATGATTACATAGGAAATTGTTTTTCTAGGGTTGCTCAAGAACATTTTATCACTAAGACACGCTAAAAGGAAAAAATGAGTATTCAGAATTAAACCAAGAACAACATGGAATTTTAAAACCAAAACAGATGGAATAAATTTGGGGTATGCTAACCCCAACTGTGTTTCAAGTACGGTAAACTTTTTAGAGAGCATCAGATTCCCGTTTAGAAAAAGATAAATGCAACAGATGGACATCTTGGAGAGAAGAAAAAAACAACACACATATAATGATCACATTCAGTAACAGCAATTCAACAAGAAACCACTGAATTTAATAAAGTCACTACTTGATCAAGTAAAGAAATTTTGCAATTCAATAAAGTATTTTAAAAAACCTAATGGATGGGCTTTGTTTTATAATTCATAGCCTCAATAAGAAAAGAAGGCATTTAACTGCCGTTTCTCGGAAAGTAAAAACCACATATGTTGCTCTGGTGGTGAGGTCAGAGAGTTCACTCAGAGTCCATAAATATATTTTTGAAGCTAAAGGTCAGGCAGCATGGGTTCTGACCCCCTCAAACTCGAAGATAAAGTTACCTGCAACCAACAGGAAAATTTTGAAACTGGAAGGGGAATGGGAATTCTCATCCCAGCTTTTTTAACACTAGAAACATGCACATCTGTGATTAATAAAGTGTATTTTTCCCCTAAAAAATAAATCAGCCATGTTAAGCCAGTTGATGACTTGAAAGGCTCTGCTTCATATTAACTATTTCCATATTGCTGTTTGGCGAGTTTTAGTGCAGGGGCTACAAAAACCCTGATTCCTTTACCTGGGGAATCAAACCAAGTCTGTTTGATGCCTGCTTTGCACCTCTAAACCCAAAATGCTCCAAAATAAAAAATAAGAACATTTCATTGTCTCTGGACTGTGAAACAGAGGTGAGGCAAAGAGTGATAAATGAAGCAAAGCAAACTTAACAACCCTGACTGGCATGTCACATGCAAATCTTCCACTGCAAATGTGTCACCCACCATGAATTTTAAGGACCACTCCCCCCCCCAAAAAAGCCTAGAAACTCCATCAAAAGCAATTAACCAGCTGATTTGGTGCATGCACATTATCAGTATTTGGGGACAAGAGCTGCTTGTTGGTCAAAACACAGAGACCACGATCTACATTGATGCACTTGCAAGTTTAATATGCAAGGTGGAAATGGGTCAAGGTCAGTGATCTCCCAAACCCACATCTACCTGCAAACACACAATGGCCCAATCTGAGCCAAGCCAACATAGCATCAAAGAAAGCAAAGATAGTTTACAAGCATCTAATGACAAAAGCCCATAAAATCCCACCCACATATACAGTGATCCCTTGTTATTAGATGAGATGGGGAAAGCTTGAAAAAAAACAGTGCAAGGATTATTTTAGTCATGGACACACACATGCAGTTTTTCCTGGGAACTGCTTTTGACGTAAGAGGTTATCAATCTGCCAT